ACTGAAGGTTTTAAAAATAAGTTAGTATTTTTATTTGAATTTTTTCAAATATCAAACTTTTTTATAAATATGCAACTTATGTTTGAAAAAACACAATATAATAATTTGCATTTATTCTAAATAAATCTCTATTTCTTTGAAAATAGCAAAAAAGATAGAAATATAATTAGTATATTAATGTTACATAGAAGAAAGGGTAAAAGTTTATTTATTCATTAGTCTAGTTATTATTTAATAATCTAAAATTTTAAACATATTTGTAGAATTTTTTTTAAAAATAAAAATTTAGTTATTTAAGTTGTATTAGTTTATTATATACTAAAGAAATCTAATAAAAAAAATATAGATGAAAATATATGAATTAATTAGACATTTCATTTAATCCTTTAGGATATAAAAAATAAAATGTAGGTTTTTAAAAGATTTTGATAAAATATTTTCAAAATATAGAAAAATATTCAGATAAAGGGTCTAATAAAAAAATATAATGCTAACAAAATAAAGAGATTTAAAAATAATAAGAATTTACAAATAAGGATGAAAAAATATTTAACAGAATAAAAAAAAGATAAAATATAACTAAAGAATTATTAGAAAAATAACATTAAGAAAAAATGAAACGATTAAAGAATAAGAATATTGAATAATAAAAATAAAAAAGTAATAGAATTAATACAAAGGAATGATAAATTTAATAAATAATTACAAAGAATCATAATGACAACTATAATAAGGAAGAACAATAATGATGAATAATAGCAATAATAAAATAATAATAAAAGAACATTGATGAAAGATAACAATAAATTTCTTGGATAAATTTGTAAAACAATTCTTTTAATAGCTAGTGGTAGAAACACTTTTAGACAAGTTCAGTTTTTGTTAAAGTTATCAAACTTTAAAAATAACATACATTTGTAAAATAAGAGTTTTGGTGATTACAATATAAACTCTAGTTGACTTAAATGAGATATGATAAATTTTAGTTGATGATATGTTAATTCTAGGCTGATTTATCACATCTTATTTTTTTGATTTTGATCAGTATTATATTTTAAAGTCATATCAAAAAGTAATATCTGATTTAAATTATATAGTTCTTAAATTTTAAGATTTCCAAAGTTAATATTTAGAAACAATTATTAAAAGAAATATAATTTATATGCAATTTATTAAATCTAATCCATTTAGAAAAAATCTTTAGTACATTACAATTAAAATGGTGCATTTAAAATTTTTCACCTTTTAAAATTACAACTGACATTAAATAAATTTTTTTATGAAACATCTATCATTAACAAAGGAAAATTGTGATTTTATAAATTATAAATTTTACGAGTTCCCCATTCTGCGGGAATAAAAAAAAAAATCCACTTTAAAGCATATTAACGTTAACATCAAATTCAATTTTAAATTTAAATAATTAAAAAATAGTTACCATGATGTTGACATTGCATATATAATTTTTAACTAATCCTCCGCCTCCAATTATTTGCAAATACAGCTTATTGATCTTAGATATTGTATGAAAATAAATCGGTTCACCAAATGAAGGAGAGCTGGACAATACTTTATAAATATTAATTAACTTCTTTGAAAAATGATTGATGTCTCTAAATATTATCACCTGATATGCCAATAATATATTATTTATTTCTTTGCCTAATCAATTAATAATTTTTGATCATGTGTTCGTTTTCTCGAGTTCCAACTGCATTGCTAGAAAATTATAGTGACAACAAATTTTTTTTTTAATATATGCATTAAAATTAACGAAATTTTTGTAAATTTTTTTTAAAATAAGAAATTTTGAGAATTTTATAATTAACATCAAATCACAATTAGATATTAAAACTTTAAAATAAAAAGGTTGACTATAGTACGTCATTTGTTATATCAAAGCAATCAACTTTCCATTTCACATCCTCCTCCTACTACGGGCAAATTTTCATCTGGCCTTGTTTTGCAAGCTTCTGTATACCGAAATTTGATAAGCTGCTATTGATTATTTAAAGGAAAAATTTGCGGCAGATAATCGAATTTGTTAGAGAAAATTACGTCCATAAATATCTATACATTTTTTTTTAAAAAAAAACAAAACAAAAAAAATTAAATACCAATGAATGTGAAAATCCACCATATTGAGAATAAAGTCTCCGCAAATAATCCACCAAAAGAAACAAGAATCATACACTTGTATTTCTTTGTTATGTCTGTTACGGTTTTAAACATAAAAGACGAAAATAATATCATTGATCACCTAAAAAATGATAAGATTGTTACTTCCTGCGCTACAAATAGAGTCGACTAGACAATCCGATTTCAAAGATTACAACACTAACTTGAAATATACCAAAACAAAAATAGTGTATGAAAAGGGCTACAATAGCTTTAAGTGGCGAATAACATGGTGGTTGATTTTCTGGGACGCACAATCGTGAAACTTAATCATGACGAGGAATTCCTAGTAAGCACGTCAATATCTCTGCCAATTTATAAAACACCGCTTGTAATGCTTTTTAAAACATGTCGTTAATCAGGATGAACTTCTTTCTTCGGAATGGAAGTCTAGTAAAAACTTGTCTTAAAATATCGCCATCGTCGTACTCTATTTTTGAAATGAAAAATGTAAGAGTAAGAAATATGTTTGAATAGGTAGGTAATTGAGATGCAAAAAGTAGTAAAATAAATGTGCATAAAAATACATAGAAATACATAGAGGTAAAGGTAAAAAAAATATGTGTGAAATGAGACGCATTAGTGTAGAAACTCAAGATCCACTTCAGTTACAAAGGTGATAACTAAAAGTGAAACCTCGTTTTCAAGAGGCTCGCAGATCATCATTTAGGTTTGCAATAAAGCAATGTCATAACCGAATCCTCGTAAAGAAACAGTAGACCTTTGTGGTCGAAATGTACTTAAGCTACTACACTACACCACGAAACACTTCCACGAACTAAAGATAAAACACATTATTTCTTCACTTACATGTTGACATCAATGATCACTGTTAAAATAACAATACTAAATATAGCATAACAAAGCTATTCCTAATAGAATATTATTTAATAAATTGTCTTGGAAATCTATAAATTAATAAGAATTAGTAATATAACATTAAAAAAAAAAAGAGGCAAAAATGAAATTTATAATAACATTTGAGCCAAGGTCAAATATTTTTTCCAAATACATCACTAGGTGACGGTTATAATGGTAATGGTAATCCATAAGTCCTATCGTTATCCTATAAAAAAAGCAAATTCATTTAGAATCATTTCATGATAAGAATAATCAGACAAAAATTAAACTAAGATGTTGGATGCAGGAAATCCAGCAGTAAACTTTAGTTAAGGCAAAGTTTGATATTGAGAACTGGTAAAGTTAGTTGATCTTTTCAGGGTCAACAGATCTTTTATCAAAAAACTGTAACTGGAAAATTCCATAAGGCCTACCAAAACCAGGTTGGTAGACGCAACCTTCATCCGTCTAAATTTTTAACCCCACTATACTTACTTTTTTATTGTTTAGGAGTTCTTGAGCAACACAACAAGTGTTGTGATGTGTCTTCTTTTTCTCTATCAATAACTGTTGAAACAAAATGTTGAAGTGACCACTTTTTACAGGAAAAACTTGATGTATTTTTCATATGAAATGTTTTCTGTTTCTGTTGATAAGCAATAGAAGTAGACAAAAAGATGTAAAAATTTTACAGCGTTGTTCACAGGATCTTATTTATAACGCCTAAGAAACATAAACTTTTGATGTGATTGGTGTATCACTAATATATTGATCGACAATGTGGCATAGTAGGTAGTTCACGTGTTACAATAATTAATTAAATTTAGGTTATTTTTGACCATAATAAAAAAAATATTTAATTAATTAACTGCTATAAAAAATTACGGCTAACTTCGCTTCTTTTCTTCTATAATTTATCTAATATACAAGTCTTCAAAATTATTCGTTAGGCACAACTAAATTACTAATTCAATTCATACAATTCTTTCTTAATTTCGCACCATTTAATTAGAAATCTAAATTAGTTTGTCCTAAACATTTAATAAATTTTTTTCCACGCCGCCAACATTGTTACTATAAACAAGTGATATTTATTTATCTTATATATTTTTTCATAAGTTTCGAATTTTTATTTAATTAAAAATTATTTTTGTTTTTTTATTTTCTTCATCAAAAAAATTAACTTAGAAAATTCAAATAATATTTATTAATTCTTATTTTCATATAATTTATACTTTTTTTATTAATCTAATATATATTACAAATAAATTCTATTAGTTTATTATACATCTTTACAAGACCGCTTTAATCTAAGACTAGTTTAGCCATAGTTTTTTTTATCATTCTACCACTTTGACCATCAACTTTTGACCATTTATGACCGGACCAGTTATTTGAGCTCTTTGAATTTTTTCTAAAATAAAGACTTATAACAAAAATAATATATTATAAACAACATTAGTATTTCTACTAAGTAAAGAGAGGAAAGAAACAAGACCACCCGAATTCAAACTACAATTAATTCTATGATAGGCTATTAGTAGAAGACCCGACCACTGAATGCAATTACATACATTTTGTGCATAGTAGGAAGATGTACAATATTTAACTCGCATAATACATTCTGGTTTAAACTACTTTAAGCCAAGAAGCCCTATATATAACTTCACTAATGATCGCGCATACTACCTCATAACCAAGAAAACAATTCAACGAATGACTGCGTCTAAAATGCAATCTTAACCCTACCTCTTAAGAATTCATTCTAGACGTCAACCGTTGGATGATGGTATGAAAAGCTACTTTTCTCTTTCTCGTCAGACCTTTCAGATCTGTAGAAAATAATGGGAAGAAAATAATCCCATACAGGTCTTCGCCGTCAAAGAGTCGATTACTACAATGGTGTGGTGAGTGTACCTAAATAAGAGAAAGTTTTTTTATTGATTAGAGATGCTCCAAAACTCTAAGTAATTCAGTGACGCATGTGTTCTAAACAAGTTCATGAGAATATATTCTAATAACACCTGATTACACATGGGTATCAATCAAAGGATGTCTAGAATAATTCACGTATTAAGTGTAAGCATGGGTATGAAACTTACCTTATGATTGAAGTTCGATGCTAATGCAGAAAACTTTCTTTGGTTATCATCGTCGTCGTCAGAAAAGCGTTGTAAGGTCGATGAAACATGTACAATGTGTAAACAAGTTATGATATCTTAATAAAGTTCGTTTCACTTTTTTTGTTTTTCGTACTAAATTATATAAAGTGTTGGAAGAGAGGATATAATTGTAAATTTTTTTAAAAAAGTAGTTAGTATTCGTCAACTCTAACTCCTTTATAAATAAGGGTTTGAAGGAGCAATCAACTGACAATAATTATTGGTAGCGTAATATATATTTACAGTATCTGATTGTGCGAATATTTTTATTGGTCATGAAGATCATGCAATAATTTCTTATTTGAATATAGACAAACTAAAATATTTTTTAAAAAATATCTTCAAATTATGCTTAGCAATTTTTTTTTGAAAAGCTTGAAGCAGGACCAGGAGGACTTTGTTGTTTATCATCCTTTAATAAAAATTAAGATAAGAATTTAATGTAAAGATTCAAAATTCGTTAGAACTTGTTATGATTATAATATCGACGAGAACCAAGGGGTTCAATCACTTCCAAATTTTGAATTACAATTCGCCGATCATCTGGGAAATTTTTTTGATGTCAACCGCATTGATCACAAATTATCCGGTATTACGTAATTTTTTACAATTAACGACTTCTCTCCTTTTTTTTACTGAAACTTTTCCATAACCTTTTATTTTTTATTCTTTTTACTAAAAAATAATATTATAGTCGGTTAGTCCCGGTCAAAATGCTTAAACTACAAAAAAAAGACTAAGCTTTATTGAATGTTACACTATCTGTTGCTTACATCCCAGATATCAAACCATGTTCTAAGAGAACTTCCGCAGGTGATGCTTTGGCGAAGTTTCAGCGTAAAAAGGTTAATCCCGCATTCTTACGAGGTTATGTATACATTCCAAAAACACCCAGATTCCAACATGTCCTATAAACCGTGGTGGTAACGGGTAACAGTTGTTAAGGCATGACACTGGAGAAATCCAAAGGAAACATACCGGTATTATCATGTAAGTATTCTTATTTAGTTATCGTCGTCTTGTCATTTTAGCAGCAGGGTGGTCTGAATATTGTTAAGAGAAAGGATACCATCCACGCTGTCAAAGCACGATAGGACTACATCGTATCCCACAAATGAAATTATTCTCATTTAAGATCACGAGGGGGGTCTTGTTGGTGATGTGGTGGCATAGCTGTATTTGAAGGGTGACCCTCCTATTCCCAGTTTCTTTTTATATAAGAAATTATAATCGTGTTCTTCCCCTTTCCCAGATAATGTAGGTGACGATGGAATTAACGAGGCATGCATGATGATTACTGGACTTATCACTACGGGTCTCAGATCAAAGCTCAGTTTATTATTTTATTGTTAATTAATTTCTCATTTTTGATACCTCTCCCAACACTTCTAACAACTTCTTTCCTTATTCTACAAATCCGAAAAGTCTGACGAAAAAGAAAGAAGTTACTAAACTTTATGTTCAGACATCTTACTAAATAAGTTAAAGAAGTTTATGAACTGTCAGAAATCTCTAATGAATATGTGCTATTATTGGTTACCGTGTTATGCTTAAAGACGTATTTATTGCTAAATGTGTGCTAATTCAATTGGTAAAAAATGCATTGGATTTGAAGAAACCGAAAATTAAGTTTGGGCGATTTTGAAAATGGTTCACGAGAGTCAAGCGATAGCAAATAGAATTAATTCTCCGGGTATTTAAATTTTTAACCTGACAATAAATTTTTTATTTTCTGAAATATTTTTAATTTACGTCTTTTCTTTTTTGTTGTAATTCAAAAGCTTCGATTAATTACCTCAGAAATTCCGTGAAAAAAAATCTTGTTAACAGGTTAATGAAAACTCATGGAGAGGTCTATTTCAAAAATCCCTTGGAATGCACGGTGATTGGTCTTTTAATGTATTTCGATTGATTCCAAATGAACAAGATCCAAATCACAAGAACAAGCATGATTTCAATGAGCCTTATTACAGAGTAAATATTTCTTACACATATCACTCCAAAATTGATACCAAAGAATCAGATGGAAATAAGGTCGTTCTACATCAGTAATCAAACATGAAATTCGAAAATTTAGGCCATATTGCAAAATGAATAATGTTTTATTAGAATTATGGACTTAGTTTCTCTGACTGTTCCAAATGATCAAGCAAAATATCCGTTTATAACCTATAATCCAGTTAAACGAAGAAATTGCGAGATATTGACCCATCGTCTATCAATCCTTAAAAAAGTAGCCGAGTAACATTATTGGGAGATACTCACCCTGTACTTGGATTGGGAACCAATAATGCAATTGAAGATGCTTATTTTCTTTCTCAGGCGTTACTTAATAAATCTTCGGAAAATTATATTTCTTGTATCCAAGCATATGAAAAGGAAATGTTAAAAACGCACATCCGCTTATGTTAAAATCTAGGTCCAACGAACTAAGGATATCATCTTTTAGACTTATTAGGAACGTCACCGACAATGGTTTCACCGACTGGGTTATTTCGCCGACGATCAATTTATCGACGATTATTTCATCGACAAGACCTTTTGACGACAATCATTTTGCCGACAGCTACAAAAAAGAAATAGGGAATCATCAATATGAGAGGTAAGTTATTAAAATCACGTTACGGATCATATGATTTACTATGTTCGTAACTCAATTTTAATAGCAAAGATCCCATATATCAGCATTCTCTAAAGACTTGCTAAAAAAAGTATGCTAATATTAGGCTATAACTATATTGAACATCCAAGAGATAAAACAAAAAAGTTTGATTAAAGTTATATAACAAACTTCCAAGGAGTAATCACTAGGTAAAAGAATTTGGTAATACGTCAAATAAATGTTTTATTATACAGTAGAAATCATTATAATATCGTAAATTTTTTAATCGCGCTATCATTCACCGGAATTCGTATTGCAAGCTATAACATGGGAGAAATATTTTTATAGAAGTGGAAGGTTATTGGTTTATTACAAGTAAGCGCTAATTTTAAAGTTCACGAGACGGCTGATCATTTTGCAGAAACTCAGGTAAAGTTCGGTATAGAATTTTGTGTTCTGAGTAGTGTTCTGTAAGGGTCAGGTACTTGAACTCGAACCCGTTAATAATTACAGAACTTGAATCCTACTCGATCATTGTTTGACTCGGACTCAACTCAACCCGATTATTGTTTAACCCATCTCGACTTCTATTAATGCCGAAAATAAAAAAAGTGTCATATAAAGTTTATTTCATTTTAAAAATTTTTATTTGTGTGCATTAATCCTAATTCTTTTTTTTTACATCTTTTTCTACAGTATTTCAAATACATACAGGTGAATTGTATTAGCTTTCTTTTGGTTGATATCAGGGTAGTTCCACCAGAAAAACTCGTTCGCAATGCTTTTCGTTTTATAAAAGAAGTTGTACAATCGGTAACGTCGATAGGTTTACTTTTATTTACTTTTTACAAACTAAAGTCGTATTGTAATGAAGAAAAAAAAGTCTGGCACGTCAATTTATATCGATATTGTTTAAATTAGATCACCGGGTCACATAATTTTTAATATTCTCGGAAGAATCTCAGATTTCATCGACTGTTCCATAATTTTGAAACAGAAAACCATGCGACAATTTAAAAAGATATAATTTACTGTACATAAGATTTAATAACAATGAAAAAAAGAAATCCATAATACTCATTTAGATGTAACAATCACTCCTAATTTCTGGCTTTTCTAAGTTTTTGACAGTTAGCACAGAGACATCTCGATAAAGCTCAGAATAAGGCAAAAAATATACATATTGTTAGATTTGGAGCATTAGGCCGAACACAATGATGTCGTTTTATCTTATCATGTGTCCTAAGTGTTATGGATTTTGCTATCAAGAAATCGATTAAAAAAATTTAATCGATCTTAATAATTATAAGTTATTGTGATTGCGTTGATAAATTATCGTGTGATTTTATGATGTTGACTTAAAATTATGAAGAGAAGTTCTTTATCATTCTCTTTCTCGTCATTTATAACAAATTTTTTAAAAAAAATGGAAGAACCACTTTTGAGACCACGAAAAAAAGATAAATTTTACTTTTTTGTGATAAGCTTAATATGTAATTTAACTATTTTTATGTTTGGCGAGTTATATATTCGAAAACCTACTATCGAACTTATTAATATATTCATAGAAGACGACTTGCTTTATTTAATAAAAAAGCAACAATTAATATGCTAAATAACTTTATTTCAAGATAAAGCTACTTTTTCATTTTAATGCATCTTCGATATTTTTTTTTTATTTATTATCCTTAATTTTTTTTTGAAAAATATAGATGAAAGTATAACCATTAAATATTGCAACAATGAAAAGATTCCTTTTGTCAACTACTAAATGGTAATCAAATTAACCGCAAGAATTAAATAAACTAATTTCAAAAATTACAGCTGATAAAATTTAATTAATTCTGTATCCGCATAGTTGAATTGATATAGCGAAAAGCGAAAGAGTATAACTTATCTAGATACTCGTTAAAAAATGTTTTTTTTGGGATATTTAATTATAAACTAATAAAATAATATAAATAAATATAAATATTAAAACAAGTATTATTAATAATTTATTTATTAGTGAAGATAAACTCCGTGATATCACTGAAAATATTAAAAAACAAGATCGTCTACATCATATGGGTGAGCAAGATAATCATATTTACTATGATGCAGTAATTATCGATTTTTTCTAGTAGTGATATTAATTCTTAAAAAAATGCGCAACGGTTGTCAAAGCATTAGGTCGTTACAGCCCCTCCCCCCCCGAAGTAATCAAACCCCGGGATTACAAAAAAAAGAGAAAAAAAATATCTCCGTTATTTAGTCTTAGTAATAACATTCTTACCTATAATTTATCATTATGGAAAAGAATTAATCCGAAAAGGACTAAAGGTATCACAAGACATATATTATAAAAAAAATATATAATATATTGATCGCTACATTAACGAAGGTATCGTAGGCGAAACCAACCAATTCATATATATTAAAAAAGGTAAAGCAAAACAAAAAAGAAAGAAATTAAATTTTGGAAGCGATTTAAGCAAAAGAGGAATTTAAGGGAAAATAGGGCGCGTTTCGAAGAAAAATCGAAAATAAAAAACCACAAATCACTAAATAAATTATCAGCAAAGATTCCCTGCAGAAATATCTCCGGCATCACTTCAGAAATTGCGAATCTTTTTAAAGGTTATCATTAAATGTTTACTGACATAATTACTAGCTGATAGTTGCTGGTTAGATTACTGCAAAAGCAAACATACAATCTTGAAATTGTCGTTTAACAAATCCCTTTAGTGACCTTTAAAAGAATTATATACTAAAATCGCTGAATGACATATCATTTTGTTTTGTCTATAAATAAATCAGTAATATACAAATTGAATACTCCAACTATATATATACTTTTTTTAACTTCAGAAAAAATGCAATTTGTTCGCTCATTAATATTTATGTTCGAGTTCGATCTTGCCAGTAAGTAATTTCTGATTTTATTTTTTCCATTATTTACGCATATAACGACTTACATCTTCTTCTACTATTATTCGTGTCTTCGCGTAGATCGACAAATGTTGCTTATTTTCGGAGGTATACGGTAATCACTTGATAAAAAAAAGCTACAAAAAAAAAAAAAAATTTTTATAATTGTGTATCGGAAATCGAAGTTTAATGAGAAAAGATTGATATTTCAATTGTTGATAATTTATTTGTCATGATATTCATGAAAATTACAAGTAGTAAATAAATAAAATTTTTTAAAATATATGTATATATATATAATTCACAAAAAAATAAAAATAGAAATAAAAATGCAAATAAAAAAAACCACATTCAAATTCATTTATTTCCAATAACCATGCTTTTCATGGTATTGACAATAGAATCAACACTATTGCTTCTTTTTTGTCTTGCTATGACTTGAGCCTTCGTAAATACTTTCTGATCATTATCAAACACACCGATGCAAGGAAATCCACAAATTTCCACCTCCAATTTTTTAGCTTCTTCACGTCCAAAACTTCCTTGCATATGGCGAACGTCTATGGCTTGACCAGCTTGGAAAAATTTATGTTGCAATTCAGAAGCTTGTGTTTTTAAACGAAAACAAAATATATTAATGATTTCACGAGTTATATTAAGAGCTAGATCAATTAATTCATCGTTAGTTTCTTTATCCAATACTTGTCTAAATTGATTCATTTCATCCAACAATTTATTTGCCGTTCTCTTAATTAAAGGATTTTCATCATCTGAAAATCCGCGACAACCAAGTGCAGAATAAACGTGTTGGCGAATTTTGATTGGTGTAATTTTAGTTATATCATCATTTCCTTTACGTTTCTTTCTAAATAATTCGGTATATCTAATTAAACTTTCGGTAGTATTTACAATATCACTTTCAATTGGATCAATGTTTTCTGAACGTGCATTTTGTAAATGCGTTTGTGCTCATCCAAGACTGTTGTGATCGTGCAACGTTGAAGTATTGCTCCTAAAACAAGCTCCGCATCCGTACTTGGATATTTCGTTTGACAGTTATAATTCTTTAAAAGGTTTGTTGCAGAATCTTTATTAACTATAAACTCACTTCCCTGAACCATTGTAAAGTCTGTTAGCATATCCTGTAATTCTTCAATATCAGAAATTAATCTTGCTGTACTGTTGGAATCATCATCATCCCAAGATACATTTATTACATTTCCAAGAGCCGCTTGTTGTTGTGAATTTTCTTCTTTCAAGGACTTTATCTGTTCTTGTAAGTTTCCTACTTCTTTTTTCCATGCATTTTGTATTTTTGTCGCAGTTACTCGAAAAGAATTCATTCTATGATAGATCGTTTGTCGTAAAAACATTTTTTGATCAGACGTTAAATGTAGTAGTTGTTCCTCAAAAGAATGTGAATATTTTAATTTATTATCTTCTAATTCTGCCCAAGCATTATCGGCTAACCTTTTTTTCAATACACGATTGTCGTCGCAGCGAGAATTTTTATATTCTATTAAATTGCTAATATATACATTACTTTGCGCAGTATGGAGTGCTTTTAAGGTAGCCAATTCTTTTACGGACTCAACCATATTATTGGTATCATCGATAAATTCTTGTAAAATTTGTGGATTATTTCGTAATAAAATAGAATTCCAAATTACGATAAATAAATAAATAAAATTTTCAACTTTTTGCAAGGAAGCCAACCACCTAAATAATTTCCAATCAAGTGAATGGACAGTCTCTAACGTATATATTGGAGTGTCATTATTACGCATTAAACGTTGTTCTCCTTTTGGTTCTCTCTGCTTTAGAATGATAGTATTCGTAGCTGACGTACTTTTCTCCATGTTTTTAAATAATAATGAAAAAAATGTTCGAGTTTTTTTTTTTTTTTTTTTTTTTCTTAAAAAAAAAAAATCAATTTGAAAGAAATTCAATTGTGATGCCATGTGAAGACTTGTTATTTTTTATGATTAAACGTGCAGATTATCGAGGCATTCGTCTCCCATTTAAGAAATGTATGGTCCTTTGTTTTTACTCTCATCTTGAATGAAGATAATATTGATTTGAAACGGTCATACGGCGTTCCTTATTTAAGTAATGATCACCATTAATGAATAGTATAGTCTTTAGAAGGTAAGATTAAATCTATTTTATAAATTCTAAAGTACAATCAAATTTATTTGTTTTACCTTTCATGCGTTGAGAAATTATGGCTTTACAAGATATTAGAATTCTGGTTGCAATAGACTTTGGAACCACCTATTCTGGTTTTGCGTATG